TGTAGGATGAATATTTCTTTTCCTTTTTACCTACCAACCTATCTAACATATTCCCCACTCACTATTTCTATAAGACTATTGATTTTTCGTCTATATCTAAAATTTTAAATGGCTCTTAAGAAAAAAAAAAAACATTATCTATTTGAAATAAGTTATTTCATTCAGAACAGAAAACAATATGTAAAATAAATAATGTAACTTGTATTGAACATTAAACATAACTTTAATATTATCAACATATTTATACTTGTATATGTATATTTTTGATTTAATTAGGAATTACATTTATCAAAATAAAACAAATAATTAAAAGTTAAACAATATAACAAATAATAAAATATACAGTACATTTTTATATAGGTATCTATATCTGTATATGAGTATATTATCTACAACAGTGAAACATATTCCGCTATTAAAAACATTTAAAATAAGGGTCACTCAATTTTTTTCAATGGTAAAAAAAAATACTGGGTAAAAAAACACTTGGTAAAATTTACGAAAATTTACTTTTACCTGTAAATTTTACTGGGTAAATTTACTGAGCTCACATCTCTATGTATAACCTACGTGTTTATTATTTTGCATATTACAATTATTAATTTCAACTTATGAGGTAAACTTCATTTTAATAACGTTGATTGCTATAAACTTTGGATTATGTAATAACTACAATGGATTTGACTTTTTTAAAAGTAAAAATAATTATTCGTAGAAGTAATTTCAAAATACTCAAACAAACTACGTAAAATAATATAATGTACCACCTACCACCCATAAAAATGTATGGCACACGTTTAAGAGTTACTGACAATTGTTACTACTAATTTTAAATAAAATACACTATTTTATAGTATTCATTAATTTAAATTAAGTTACAAAGAATAAAATACTGTTAACTAAAAATTAAAGAACATGTTTATGAAATATAATAATATAGACTTACCTAATTTATATTTTTTTGCTTTTTATAATTAAAATATACATTTTTAGATCCCAAAATAATTTATTTTATATATTTTTATCAGCAAAAGTTAGTTAAATATTCAACCTATACGAGAATATATCCTATATAAAAATTGAATGAAAAAAGACACTGGTTGAGGAACGATGGGTGAGAATAATGTTAGAGTTGATAAGTATGCCATAGATTGGAATTGAAAAATGGTTCCGAATAGTGATCAATATAGTTAGATCCAATATAATTCGTTAAGGTCAATAATTTTATGTTAAGCTTCATAAAATATAAACAAACCAATCATCATTGTATTATTTATTGATATTAAATTAAAAGAAAAATTTCATTTTTCTTAATCCAATTTATGTTCTGAAAAATTAAAATGTTTTTCATATTTTCAGTTTACAATTAAGTAACAGAATAATTCTAACAAAAAAATATATAATTTCAAAATTCATATATTCCTTGCTCTACTCAGAATTTTAAATAATTCATTATCTTTCAAATATTAAAATGTATATTATTCAGTAGGTAACTAATTTAATCTTCCTTGTATATGTTGGTACAACAAATTCTGGTTTACCAAAATATTGTACGGCTCCTCTTTGAATAGAAATTTTAACTGTAGAATTAAATTATTAATGTGGTATAAAATATATAAATATAATGTATTTAAAATTTTACAACAGAAACTGAATGAGATTCAATATCAATAGATATTAACAGAACTATTTTGAAGCAAACTAAAAAATAATCTCAGTTAAATTCATAATTATCTATACAGTTGTAGTTTCTTTTTTTGACTTGGTTTCAAATTTCCAAAGACAAATAGGTATTCAAAGCATTTCAAAATTGATTGATTCGATCACAATTTAGAACATTATCAATATTTAACAGTTGTTTAAATATATTTTCTCTTTTGAGGAGTACAAAATGAATGTTTTATAGACTTAGAAATACTTAATTTCTATATAAACCGCAGTTATTTTTTATTTAAGGCAAATATATAAAATATACCAAATTATACTGAATATTTTATGAATAATTATAAGATTAATATCAATTATTAAAATCATAGAATTTTAATTTTGAACCCTTAAAGCAAATGTTAGCAAAATACACTTACATGAATTGAATAGCTTCTGATAAACCAGTATAAAAACTAAGAATCCATGGTTCTTTTTTGGTGTAGTCATTAACTGATATAATATTTTTGATTTATAGATTAGTATCATTAATTATATAAATATAGACTTAATATAAATTAATAAAATTAATACCAACAGCTTCCTTAAAAAAACTTCAATTTAATCTTCTAAAGGCAATATTTTTATAACATATTAATTTTTCATTTTTAAATTTGAATTAACGGAACAATTATTTTTTGATCACCAACTATCTTCTTTAAAATAAATTTGACTATAAAAATCGAAAACGTTAATTTTAAGATGATATTACTTTTTCAGTTTCACAATATTAAGAATTTAACAAAAACACCCAATATGAACACCATTATATTATTGGTAAATTTGATATTAATGAATATTAAAACGAAAAAAATTTTATTAAAAGTTTTATTTTTAATTTAATTTGTATATTTAAGAACAGTTTTGTTACATTCTTATAATTTAATTTAAATGCATATTCCGTAATGTCAGTAAACATTTGAGCTACATTACCTTCTGTAACTTTTGAAAACTCATATTCAACTGAAAAAAAATAATGAAAATAACTGTACAATATTTTAGAGTTATAAAATATTTAAAAAAAAAGAAATGTAATAATTGTTAGTATAGGCTTCAGTGGAAGTGGAACTCCAGTTTTAAATAATATATAACCGAGTGATGTCCACAGATTTTTGAATAAGTAGGGCTTAAATATTTCTTTATATATCATCCCAGCTCCTATACCGTCATTAATCAGGTACGTAATAAGTTTTATAAATTATTACATCTTGGTTACTCATACTCGTGTGTCGTACAATCAAATTCAATGATCAGTATTCAAGTTCATAGAGTCCCATAACTCGATCCATTATAAAAATGAGTGTGGCTTAAGCTAGCGGTCTTCGAGTTATTTTAACTTGTGACCCATTTCTTTAACATGCATTACTTGCCTTGTATGAATTTAAAACAAAATAGTATTTGTTGGATCATTTTTGTCTGTAGAACATGTAACCACCAAAAAAAAAAAAAACGGTTCATATTTTACAATTGTAATTAATTTAGTAAACGCTATAGACAACAGTGTCGTAACGGAGTGACGAACGATTATTGATGGTAGATGGTAACGGTAAGCCCGTTTAGTGCGTCACGATATTTTACATTACTTTATTAATAAAAAATGAACAAAAAAAAATTGCTCTACGTGGAGTAGTGTTGTTTAATTCATTAAAATCGAACGTACATAATGAAAGGATTTATTATCGAGATGATTTTTATAGTTTATACCAGAAAACAGAAGATGATGACGACAATGATCGTTAATTGCCATTTATTACAAAAAATATTATTTTTGCCAATATTATTTATGGTTATTCTTGGTTAATTCCTCAAATATATAACATATATATATGTTCGTAAAAATGTACGTATAGGTACTTTTTCTATCATATTAATATTAACTACAAATTGTCATTGAATATTTTTATCGCAGCTACGCAGTCGATGCGTGACAAAATTTCCGAGTCTTCGAGGCTCTCAAAATATAAACTAACTACTATGTATTTACGAGTACTATACATAAAAAATATCTAAATGAATAGACAGTAAATAACTAAAGTTTTCATCAAAAATAAATGAAAAGATAATTATATCTTGATAAGTCTCAACATTGAATGTAATACTTTTATAACTGTACCAGCTTTTTTCGTACACGGAACGTACACACATTTACAAATAAATATATGTCATCTTGTCGGATTTTATCTGTCCACCAGTAGAATGTTGATGCATCAAATATAAAAACTACAGACGTCAATAAAAATATATCACACTAGGTTTATCAACCAATAATGTTCAAACAATTACGTTAACAATAAATCTATCTTTGACATCTGTTAGTAACACTGAAAGTACTTTTATAGAATAATACCCACATTTTATTCCTGACATGGTTTTTAATTATATCAATTTTTTTACTCCATAACAATCATTTAAACACATTTTTCTCGAAGTATATTTTTATAGGAATGAACGAAATTCAGTAGTTGTAATTTAATTATGAGGAATATAAACATGCATCACTGACTTACATGAATCTATTGAAAATTTACACTTTTTAGATCTACTTGAAGACAAAAACTATTGTGTAGTCAATACAATTATTTAAATGCAGGCGAAAATCATCCATAAATTATAGGCTAATATTCATGATGAGTACTTTTTCGAAAATATTTAAAAGAAATTATTTAAACTAGATTATTTAAAAAATATAGTTTGTGGTCAAAAAATCAATATGGTTTTATATCGGAATTAGTTACACATAGACTCTTTATGAATTCTCTCAATTTCTGTATTGTAATTTGGATAATAATAACAAGTCGATAACAATTTTTTTTAAACTTAATAAAATTCTTCAATAAAGTTAATCGAGATATTCTCAAACCTATAAAATTAGAAAAATTTAAAAATATTGTGTATTTAAAGGTGTAGAATTTGATATTAATTTAAAATAGAATTTATACATTAACTATTGGATAAGCTAAAATTCGTAACTTGATCAAGTCAAAAATATGGTTTTAAAACATAATACGAGAATAAATAACTATCAGAGCCTACCTTAGGATTGAGCGAGGCCTAGGGCAATATTTTTAGCCGAGGCCACTGAATTAAATTTTTTGTTTATAATAAATTTTATAATTATAAATGTTAACCAAAGGATACTATTATTAAGACTTATTTTATTTTTATTTAAAAATGAGCATTACATTAATAAAATTAACTATATCATAATAATTAATAATTAACAGTTTACAAGACATTATTGTTTATTTATTTATCGTTTACCTAAATATCATAAATTAAATTATATATTTTACAGATTAGAGAAAATTGACTTTTCTTGCTTTATACTTAGCAAATTCATTAATTACTTCATCGTAGTCTAAGTTTGAAGCTATATATTTTTCAATAGATAATATTGCAAGTGAAGAGAGTCTTTCTTGCGTCGTTGATGTTCTTAAATATGATTTTATCAGTTTTGATCTAGAAAAAGATCTTTCTGCGCTGGCCACAGTTATTGGAATAGTTAGTAATATTCTATAAGATATATTAGCATTAGTAAATGGATTTTGTAGATCTTTTATAAATTGTAATATTTCGATGGACGTATTTATTTCTACTGGTATTATTTGTCTGATAATTTTTAACTCAGATAAAATTTCTGCGCCATTGATGTCGTGTTTTTCACCGTCTCTCAGAGAAATGTCCAAATCAAAACAGCATTTCATAAAATCATTTTCACTTAAATTACATAATTTTTCAAGAGAATATAAAAACCCAAACATATTAGAATACTCTTCAAATTGTAGAAAACGTAATTCCATAGATTGTATAGCAGTATCAACAATTTGATAAAAATATTCAATTTTAAATTTTTCTTCTGGTGATTTCTGAGAATTAATTGATTCTTCGTTTTCCTCATAAGAAAAAAATCGTTTTCTTTTTCGAATCCTTGTTTCTTTAAACACAGGATTAATATTTAAAATAGTTGATATCTCTTTAGCATCAACTATTGCAGAATTAAATCCAATATCTCTTATAATTTTTTAAAAACTGTAGTAAACCTTTTAAACCGTTGATTACGACATCCAAATTCATATCTCTTAACTGTAATATTTTGCTAACGCTATTGACTGACTGATAGGAGAAGATCATACCATATTACTACGCTCACAATAAATTCAAAATTTTCCAATTCATTTATCGCAAATGATTCAGCTTCACTTTTTACAGTAGGTTCAGTTGTACTTTCAGCTACTTCTTTAAGAGCATCTCTAATTAAGGCAGCATGATATCTTATAGGTTTTACGCTATCAACTCTACTTTCCGATAGTCGTTTCACTGAGCAATTAGGCACATGTTTTTTTAAAATAGACCATCTTATTGGAGAAGCTGTAAATAACGAATATATTCTATTCATTATACCAAAAAATGTCATTGCTTTCGAATTACATTTGGCCATATCTCCTAATAGCAGATTTAGATTATGACATGCACATGGAGTGAAAAATGCTTTTGGATTTTTTTGAAGAATTTTAGCTTGTACTCCGTTATACTTACCCTTCATGTTAGCGCCGTTGTCGTAACCTTGCCCTCTACAATCTTCTATACTTATGCCAATTTTATCTAACTCCAAAAGAATAGTCGAACTAATATTTTCTCCAGTTGATGAATGTGTTTCTACAAATTTAATAAAATGTTCTTCAATTTTAATTTTTTCAGAATGCATATCAACACAACGCAATATAATCGATAACTGTTCTCTATGACTTAAATCTGGTGTACAATCTAGTATAATTGAATAATATTTTTCTGAATTTATTTTTTTACAAATTGTTTTTGATACAGAGGATGCCAATATATTAATGAATTCATTTTGTATAGTTTTTCTTAAATAATGGTCATGTATTTTTTTTTGATTGAATTCTTGGAATATGTTCTGAAATTATGGGATCAAATTTGCCTAACATTTCTATAAGCACTAGAAAATTACCATTATTTGAATTAAACAATGTGTCACTTTCACCTCGAAAAGCGAGATTTCGTTCTGATAAATAATGTACAACATGAAGAATACGTATTAAAACTGCCCGCCAATGTTCTGTTTCCTTTCTGATTAATGTTAAATTTTGTTTATCAATTGTTATGTTTTTTTTCATACTTATTTCACAACTAATCCATTTTTCAATGTTGAGTAAATGATTTTGAGAACACTCATAACTTTTTATTCTCTCTGCAATATGTTTCCAATCTTAAGTCCATCATCCACCAAGCCACTATTACATGCATTTCCAAAAAGTTTACAGCAAAAACAATAAACCACATCTTTTTTCTTCGAATAAACAAACCATCTACATCCAACTTTTTCACCATTAGATAAAGTTCTATAAAAATAATCAACTGAGAATTTTCTCTTCCTCTCACTGTCACTAATTTTTATTGGAAAATCGTAATTAAAAATTTCATTTGGACCTTTTTCGATAATTGTATCTCTCTCTCTAACACTTAAACTATGAGGCCATTCACCAGGGTCTTCAACATTTTGAAAAACTTTATCATTTTGATCATAAGTCATTTCTTTTAAATTTGAACTAATACTTTCTACTTCATTCATATTTAAATTAATATTATTAGAAATTTCTTGTTCGTAATTAAGACACAAAACGGGATCGGTCAAAATTACATTTTTGGGCGATTCATTTAAAGAGGAAGTACTATTAGGAAGCAATGGGGCTTCATTTTTATTCTGCGATTCTATTTGATTTGTATTATTTTCTTGTGGAAGTTTTAAAAACTTTTGAAAGGCACCAGTTTGACTCTTTAAGAATTTTTCTTTTAATTTTTTCTTTTTTAATTTTTCACTGCCCGATTCAAATTTTCTAAATTTATCTCTATCACGGCCCATTGTAAAGATAAAAAACTGTTGAAACAAGAAATAGTGAAATATTATTTTAAATATTTCCAATAACAAATAAAACCACAATCATTTGTCATTTAAAAGAAACCTTTTAATACTTTTTGTTTGGGAGGCGGGCGAAATTTGTGTTGTTTGTAAGAAAATAACATAATTTAAATTTTTAAATTTTAAGATCCTTCACTTCACTCAGAATCTAAAAATTGTTTTTACATAAAAGAGCATACTTAGTTATTATAAGAAAAAATATTTGTATAAAATATTTTATATTATACTATATAGTATTGCATGAATTCTGTCCATTTTAAAAGAATATAAATTCACGCTTTAGTTATGAGTAGAGTACGGATTTATATGCACTAAAATGTACCAAAATATGCCATATAATATGCAGTCAAAATCGTAAAAATGTGCAAGAAAAATAATTTATTGGTCAAAATAAAAAAATATAAGAACATTATTTACATCAAAAATTTGTACAATAGTAAAAAAAATATTAATAACGATATATTTAAATATTATTAAAAAGGTATTATAAATTAATATATATTTTCTAATTTAATTATTATTAAAATAAAAATATTTATATGAAAATTTTTTTTTTCCTTAATTAATTAAATTATTAACTTTTGGAAAGAACTCCTTTATTTTTTCTGAAAGACGATTACAAACATGAGCGGTACATGTTAGATAGATCATATTATTAGTATAAAATATCTTCAGAGACTTCCCTGCTTTTATTATACTATAAGACGCTGTGTCTGTTAATGAAATTATTAATATACACTGTTTCATTTCCTCAACTGTCCATAATAATTAATAACTTAAAGTAGTCATTGATAAATTAATATAAATTAATTTTCTTATCTTTATTTTAATTTCTATTTAGTGCCTATAAAATTTACTTTTGATTTTTTCACTTGACGAAATATTATTGTATTAGGTACCTTTTATTAAAAAATGTCTCTTCAGTATTTTTGAACTTTATTGTGATATGCGAAAATATACAATAACTATGAAATATGCAGAAATATGTAAAAAAAAAATTAATTTCAATTTTATTTATGTATGTTTAATTGTTAATGCTCTCATTTTTAAAATGATAAAAATATAATCATTGAAAAATTAAGATTAATTTTTATAAAAATATTACTATTTTAAATAAATGGGTAATAAGAGTAAGTACTTACGAATGTAAGATGCTGCTGGTTAGCGTTTGATGGGGTTTCGAGAATGAAATTAAAATAATTATGATTCTGGATGGAGTCATTGAGTCACTGTGGTGTGTGACAAATAATAGCCCAACTGATATTAACTATAAATATCAATGTAAAAGGTTCGATGGTGAGAGTAGGTATGATTATATATATTATTCCCCATTGGCATCGATAAGATATGAAAAAAAAACATGGAAAAACCCAAATTGAGTACTATTAAATTACTATTCATAACAACTTGAAACTTCATGCCCTCATATTTATTTAATATAATTTATAAAGTAATATAACTTTAATATATTTTCACGCGAGGCCGAAAATGATTTATAAAAGCACGAGGCCCGGGGCAGGGGCCCCGCCAGCCCATGCCTAAGGCCGGCTCTGGTAACTATAGTTGCTTATAAGCAATATATCACTCAAACTTTCAATATGGTATATTATCGGTTCAGGATCTATGAAATTTCACGTCTGGGGCTACCGAAAATGTAGCGCTCTTACTCAGTGTAGATGTACGGAGTATGTTTATGACATTTTCTTATTTTTTTATAAACTTATTTCCTTATACCGTCGGAACATCTGGAACAATCATAAACGCTTGCCCTCCCCAATTCCTAGATTCAGCACAGTGTATTAATACTGAAGTGGCGCCTAAGTAGATTAAAACACTAACGAGTAAAACAATGTTACGCACCACCTACCACCCACAAAAATCGGACCTGTACCCCGTATTCGGCGCTACCGCGTTGTTATTATAACCGTTGCGCAAACACTTCGTGCAATATTATCACTAGGCTTAGGGACTTCTAGCATTTGCATACTTTTTTTAATTATTGTTAAATATAGCAGAGTGCGAAATAAATTCGTTTCTCGGTGCCATGACATCAGATCTAAAATTTGAATGTACATATTTTGACAAATTTTTCAAATTATATTATTATTATTATTAAAATTAAAAACTATAGATACATATATCATATATACATATTTCAACCGGTCGAAAAAAATAATGTACTAAGAGGACTTAATACTTCCAGTAATATGCTATCTGCAAACTACTTCTCATATTTCGCTATAATTTTCGTGCAATCTTTGTCAATAATGCTATAAACCTGTATCGACCGTATAACTCGCTGGATATCGACCGGATGTCGATACAGATAATAGTCGATAAAGAATAATAGATTATTTGTTTAGTGTTCAGTTTAGTTGATTATTATCGGTCGTTGTTTTTACGTCTCGTAACAACGTCAAATAATACGTAAAAAGTTGTATGCGTATATTTTGTAACATTGTGTAATGCCGAAAGTACAACAGTCTACGAGTAGCCGACTACAAAGTTTTGTTTCGGATTTTAAATATATATTTACATCCGATGGACACGTTTTATTTTGTGTACTATGTGGTCATTTTTTTTTTTTTAATGCATATAAATGCATATTATAATGCATATGTCAATGATTTTAGAAGCATATTTGCATGCGTATTTGTGTATTTTTTAGAACTATAAGTCCATAAGCCTAATTATCACGGTGCTGTACGTATCGTATTAATTGTACGACGAGGAGTAATTGAATAGAAGTTCGAAATCGACGTAAGAATTTTAATATCATGAGCCGTGCGCACGCAATATTACTGTTATCGACGTAGAGCCAATTACGTCCGTTGCGGTGCGCGAGTGATAAGCGTTCCTGCACCGTGGCGGTAGAATGGTACGTCGGGTGAATTTTTTTTATTTTTATTTATTTAATAATTTTAAAAGCTTCAGAAATCGCTGTATGTCCCACAGTAATTGAATATCGACTAAGCAGACACGAGTAATTATAAACGTTCAAAGTTTAGACAGCAGCTACGGCGCGCGCGCGCGAAACGGTAGGCGCGTGCGATGCGGCGCAGGCAAAGATAAATAACTTCTGCGTCATATCACATCCTACCCGTCCAAACTTTAAGCGCTCGCAATTAGTTATATTCAACCGTACAATACGGTAAACATTCGATTATAATAATAATGTAGCGCGTGGGCGTTCGCGGAGGGCACCACAGGGGTCGGATACGGTTTTTCGATCCGAATCGCGTTTGAAGTGCCAAAACGCGTGTCCGCAGAGAGAGAGAAAACGCGCCGAACTGTACGACAGGTACCCGCGCAGACTTAGTACGTGTTGCCGATGATTTATCATCACGTCGGCCGTATCGTTGCACGTGTGCACCGCAACGCGATATTTATGTTCAAATTTATGTTCAAACGACACGGTCGAGCGAAAACCGAATGACGATGTTACCGGATGCGGTGTGTTGGCCGTGATCGGGTTTGAGAGCATCGGCGTGCCGTCATTAGTCCGCGTTCAGTGGCGGCGGCGAACTCTATGCACGAGTTCACATTTATGTACATTCCTAGTGCAATATAAATAATAATATATAAGTAATAATAAATGAAAAAAAAAAAATTGAAGAAAAAAAGGCCCTGGGACTGCCTCGTTCTCACCTCTCAGCCCTGACGATGTTTGAAACCCTTCAGTTGTAAAAGTTCCGAGAGCGCATCATTTTTTCTTTTTTTTTTGTATATAATTCAAAATCTAAAATTTAAGTAGAAAGTCATGCGAAGCGGAAATATCAATGTTATAACGAAATCATAAAAAAAAAAAAAATAAATAAATACAATTATATTCAATTACGAATAGAAAAAAAAAATTAGACGAGTGCTATATCAGTGATATTGTTTACTTCATTTATGTGCACACCGACGAGGAGCAGTGGTGTTTTTGTTTTTTTTTTTTTTTTTTATCTTGATTCATGATGAATCGCCTTCTACGTATTTGCGTTTGCCTGCGTATTATTTTTACACAACATGCGGTCATTAAAATATCAAACTACAGAAATAACGAGGATACCATAAGAGTTTTACGTATGTTTCTGTATCTTTTCCAACGTTTCCGTAGCCTAAAATTACCGCAATCATCCCGCATTCATAAACACAAATCTGAAAATAATTTGAATTGTTCACGTTCTAACCATATCATAATATATACACACACACACACACACATATATATATATATAACTGTATTCAAAGTATACATTATATTACAATACGTATAGATGTTTACCTTTTAAAAGTTTTAAATGTATTTTTTTCTTTTTTTAAAATACGAAAATTCATAAATATTTAAATTTCTAAACTTTCAAAGTAAATTCAGTTGCCCTTCGAGGAATATTTAAAACATTTTTTTAAGCTTTAGCAGCAGTTATATTACCATACACAAACATTTACAATTATTATTACATCATATGCTATTCTTGAAGATCAAAATTATATTATTTTCAACTTAGATATTACCGTCATTATTCTGTTTTATTTTATCTTATTTTATTTTTTATCTTATATCGGATATTATGTATTCATCGATTTTAATATTCCCCTTTGGATAAAATTATTCTTGTCATAATATTTTATACGGAACATTAACTAAACTCATGAACTATGTCATC